TAGCCACAAAGGATATAAATCCAATTTGTGTGCACCAAATACATTCGCAAGTCCAGTTATTACCTGGTTAAAAGTAGCTGTGACCACCAGCGATTCCCTCTCATTTTTTGTTGTGGCTTTTGGACAGGACGGGAGATCTCCCCTTATGGGACAGATGCCAAAAAACAGAAAGCCGACAGTGGTTATAATCTTCCATTGCTCTATGCAAAACTAGAAAGTGTTGGCTTCAGTTCTACTTTAAGCAATTGCTAAATGTAATGAAAGCAGCAATTATAGATTGATTTATAATTTCCTTCATGTTCTATTTACAGTTATGACTAAAACCAATTCATTTTCTCAGGGAAAAAGATTTAGTCTTAGAACCGGATATAATGTAACATGGTCTCTTTCATACCAGAGAAAGTCATTCCCAAGAACCCACTTATTTCTGTATGGCTCATATGGCATATTGCAGCATAAATCGTGTCAGAATTCTCTAATCTGGGACCGATGTCGCAATAAAGAAAAAGCACCCAAAAGAAGCAGTAGACGAGAGGAAAAAAAAGATGGGAGAAGAGAGTGTGAGAGAACATGGATCTCAGGGTCGTACGAGTGACAAACTAAATAAAATGCAATTTTAAGTCTGAACTCCGGCCTTACCTTCAGTCTTGCAGTTGTAACGACTCCTCTCCTGGACTGAAGTTGTTTACTCAGATTTCCCTGCACACTGTGAGCTCCTCAATGTGCTTTAGAAGCTGCAGCTTCAGATGAAACCCGCCTCATTTCCTTGCTGGAGGACATCCAGCATTTTTCTTCATTGCCGTCCCTGGCCTGCCCCCTTATTTTAGTTATAGATGATCGACATCATATGTGGGCATTACCAAGGGTGGTCTGCATACATATGCAGCCTACATAGGATTGTCACCTGCTCCAGACTGACACCTACCCATCATGGCATTTTGACATTTGCATGACCACCTACTGCTAGCACCAGGGCTGAGGGCTTTTGAGAAGACACCTGAGGCAGAGTGATGATGTTTTCAGGAAGCTATGTACAGCACCCTGCGTCCCCCCCACCAGCCGATATCTGCCTGCATTGCAGAGAATAATACAGACCAAGAGATGCCATCAATAGGTCTACAATAATGAAAACAAAGGCTTGATTTAAAAATGTCATTAGCATGTGTTTGAAGAGGGGAGTGGGAACCCAGGGAAGGTTATATACCAAATAGATTAAACTTCCGCTTTACATACTTTTAGGACAGGTACCCAAAAACTGTTCATATTTGCTTCCTTTATTCCTCTACACAGAGCTCTAAAGACTGTGGAGCTTGTTCCAGGTACAAAGATAGAACAATGGTGCCATCATTTCCCTGATGCTGCTTGAAGACAAACTCCAGACAACAGAAAATGGGTAATAGGGAAGCATTGGAACCGGGAATTGCAGCAAATTGAGCCATGCTTTAGAAGGGGGGAAGGGGGTTTGCCTTCCTCTGGATAAATTGTAGGGAACTGTGGTCGTAGGGTTCTGTTTTTTGGAGCTTTTCGATTTGATTTAACTTGAAGCTCTTTTTTTTTTAACCTATCCCCTCTATCATGTTGTGAGAGCACTCTGTTTCCGTTGGGAAGAGGACATCCTACTTTCTGTTCTGGTGTCATAGGACAGTGTGATGAGAGAAGTTATGGGTTACAAAACATAGTTGTTTTTTTTTTTTAATGTGACCTTTAACCTCCCAGGCGGTATGATTTTTTTTTTCCATGTCATTTTTTGGTCTATTTTTTTTTAATATCACGCCGGCTCCGCCCCCTGCGCCTCTCGCAAGGGACGGAAGCCGGCATCGGCCGGAGAACACAGCGTGGCTCGACGGAAAAGGTAAGTAAATGCTATGCGGCATTCCAGAGTGTAGCTCGGGGTTACCGCTTATGGTATGGAAAATAACCACGAGCTACACTCGTGAATACCGCCAGGGAGGTTAACACCCATTCCTCTTCCTTTTGTGGTGTCACTGTAACATGTATTGAGTAAATGCCGACACAAACATCAATAAAATGGAAAAACAATTCCTGGATGAAGCCCTAATTCCATTTCATCTAAACCTGACTGGAATGAGAACTCGGTTACGAGATTACGCTGGAGGAGTGGCATCAATTTAGCACAAGAGCATCAAGAAGTCTTCTGAAGGTTTCCTTGATCGAAGCCAATATTAAGGTTCTGACACCATGGTACTTCGTTCCAGCCAAATTGGCGAATATGAATCCAGAATTCTCCTTGCAGCGTTTTAGAGGATGTGACAATGTGGGCTCGATGGATCACGTATGGTGGCTATGTCCTAAAGTATATACATTTTGGAAAAAAGTATATAAATTAATTTATATAAATTAATTTATAAACTTTTTTCCAAAATGTATATACTTTAGGACATAGCCACCATACGTGATCCATCGAGCCCACATTGTCACATCCTCTAAAACGCTGCAAGGAGAATTCTGGATTCATATTCGCCAATTTGGCTGGAACGAAGTACCATGGTGTCAGAACCTTAATATTGGCTTCGATCAAGGAAACCTTCAGAAGACTTCTTGATGCTCTTGTGCTAAATTGATGCCACTCCTCCAGAATGACCAAGGCACGAGTCCCACGTTTTCCATTATTTAATCTATTCCTACAGCTACTAAAAACTCAAATAGTATAGCACAAGATGGAAGAGAGACCTATGAAGTGGTTTGGGAACCTTGGCGGTCTTATGTAGGTATAAACGAGTCGGTTTTGTAAAAATTGGGTAGTAGATGGTGTAAGTTGGGAATTACCTCAGGACCTCCCCCCGCCCCCCATTTCTTTTTCCATTGCGTAAATGTTAGGGTTTGTATGCTGAATAACCGGCATTTTCTGTATTGTTCTTTATAAAAAAAATGTTTGTGAAAAACGTAATAAAAATATTGAAATACTAAACCTGACTGGACTTGGGCTTCAATTGCCCTATGATTATACTGGGGGTCAATAGGGGGCTATGAAACAGAGACCCGCCAATATCTGGCAGCTGTAACAGGAAGGCAGGAGGATAATACATACGACATTAAAACCCTAAAATAATAATAATATAAACTAGCCAGTAGAAAACAGGTAAGCACGAGTCGGAAGATATTTTATGTTTAATACATCTGAAAAGTATGCATATACAAAGAACTGAAACATGGAACAAAGCATTGGTTCAATACTAATGAGCCTACAAGTTATTCATTGGGGAAGATGGAATACTTTCCCTACATATTAAAAAATACCTCTGGAAAAAGTGGGTTTGGTAAAATACCTATTAACACTGGTGTCTATATAATTTTTTTTTTTTTTTACAGTATATTTAGAGACTGAAGTCCTTCCTCAGGATTCCTCGGTATATATGCATGCAAAAAAAATGTACATTGGGGCGTTATATTTACTGGTCCCTTAAATGTCAAACTAACTGGGGGGAAAGGGTAAAGAAGAGCATTCCCTCATTACAACAAACTATGGGGGCAGAACCTAAGTTGACCATTTATTAATGATGCAGAAAAATTAAACCCACCAATTCAAGAGAAAGATGGGAGAAGCCAGATCTAAATATTGTTCTACAGTACCCTGGCAAAGCATGGCCGAAAAGGATCCATCTACCGTATTATTGTAGGATTTATTGGCATGCTAGACCATTGATGTTGGATCGAGCAAATTTTACTCGGCAGATCTGCAACGGTCCCTCACCTCAAAACATTTAGGGCTCGCTCATACAGGAAGATTATTCAAGCACTTTGGTACTTTTTTTTTCCGCACAAGCAAAATGCATGGCCAGGAGGAAACACACAGCTTCTAATAAAGTAGATTGAAAATAATGTGTTGCACGAGCTGCAGAGCAAAAGATAAAGAAAGGTTTTGATGCAGCATTTTTGGTGCAATCACCTTCATTATTTGATTCAAGCCAACCGAATGAGGTCCCTTGAAAATGCAATGTTACTAAAACGCTAAGAAAAATGCACACCGAGTCACTCGGCGCATGCGTTTTTAACAGCATCTGGTTGCAATGCGCCCTCACAGGGTACCTGTGAGGATAGAAACTGCAGCTGAGGGTTGCGCTTTATTTTTGAAGCTGCAGTTAGTGGTGCCCGTTACCCCTGTGCCAAATAAGGAGTCAATTATCTGAAACAAGCATGTGCTTATCAGGCGTCCTTTCAGCCAATGTACCTGCCTGTCTCAGGTCAGCTTCAGGGAATGCACCTTGGAAAAAAAACAAGCAAATTTGGCTTTTTTTTTGGCAGCTACCGTATCTCTGTCTGGACAGCAAGAAAAATTCCATGTTTCGTTAAACATTGTTCAGGGCTGTGTTTGCCTTTGGGGAAAGCAGGAAAGTCCTGCTCCAATTGAAAAGGGGCCAGCAAAGCTTTGCATCCTTGGAAATCAGAGAGGAGGGGCCAAAAGTACAGAAAGTCACCAACCTGCAAAGAGTGCAAAAGGTTTTCCGAGTCTCTACCTGAGCAAAGGGGTCTTCTAAAACATAACTCTATGCCCTGGGCTCTGCCTAAACTGAAGGGCAATACCCCGGACCTTAAAGAGACCCTGTCACCAGACCATGCTAACAATCTCTAATAAAATTATATGTGCATTTGCTGTATATTATGTTATTTACCTGTAAAGCCTCCTGCACGTAGACATCCAAAAGGCCTGAGCCCGCTGTTGGTTGCCTTCATCCTGAATGTGATGTCAGCAGCACCAGAGCTGTCCCTCAAGTGACATTCTATAGTATTCCCCTTCACTTCTCTCCTGGCTACTACATAAAAGGTTATGTGGGGAGGTGAGGGGTAGGGCAGAGGAGCTAGAACAGCACAGAGTAATTGGGCACCCCGAGAAGAGCAAAGATGGAGGGGGCCCGGGCTGGCAAGTTCAGACTATCTTTGCAAGTCAATAAAAAAATGTACATAAATGGAAAAAAAAAACGCTCCAAGTACGCTTTTAAATACTTGATTCTTCAGTGCTTTTACCTGCAGATGTTTAAGCTGGTGACAGTATCTCCTTAACAGTTCCCCATCAGGAGGAATAATTTTGCCTAGGGTGCCCCTTTGAGGGCCCGGGAACAATGGGTCGGTGGCATTGCCTTTGATCTGATCTCCCCCCCATACTGTAATGCAGTAAGAGTGTACACCACCTCTTCAGCCTGCCTGCTTTTGTGTATTAAAGGTGTCTCCTATCAGCTTGATGTAAGAGATGGACAGATAAAACAGGTTTAAAATTAGTCTGTTATAGATGAAGCATGCCTTGTTCTTTAATATAAGACATTAGCAACTGTAAATACATAATAAAATTAAAAAAAGACAGGAGGGGGAAACAACAAAAACTAGCAATAATCAGTGTTTGTTTTTCGGTGGATATGCAAATCGCTCAAACTAATCTTTTCTACGAGACTTAATGGAGCTGGGCTTGTATTTTCAGGTATCACCACTGGCTTTTGGGTGGTGATTAGTTCAGGGCCTTTGTCATGAATGTGAAAAAAAAAAAATTAAAAGTTTATATTTAATCTTTAGTTTGATTTAAACATTATCTTTTTTTTTTTATTTTTTTTTTAGTTTGATGCCGACACCAGCTCTGGAGAGGGGGGAGACCACTGAAGGGTTTTCATAGCAGCACACACTTGCGTTTCTTCTTGGGCTCCGGAGGTTCCAGTGCGGCCAATATCGCCTCGTCAAATACATTCTTTAGGCCTTTCTGGAAAGGGTCAAACAGAAAAGAAATGGGCAGTCTCATTTTATGATTTCAAAACAGATAATGGAAAAAATAAAATATAAAATAAAACAAATGCTTCCCAAAATAACGTCAACATAAAATGTCTAAACTCCCCATGGATTGACCTTAGGAACTCAGTTTCAATTTCAGCACAGCTCTTATGTTACCATCGGTAGAGTCAGAGGCCACAAGAGATTTCAACTTAAATATGTATTTTTGGAATAGATAAGCAGTCAGTAACAGTATATTTGACTTCAACAATCAAAGAGGAAAAAACACCAAGAAGAAATCAACACCCTGTCAAGAAAAGAGCTCCTCAAGACTGGGGACCGAGTCACGTGAAGGAAATATTGGCACAACAGTCTCTTCTTTGTATTAACAAAGTCCTTTGCTTGCAATCAGTTCGTTTTTGGAGCTTCTCTTCCACCGGGGTCCTTAACAGTTTTCAGTGTGAGTAATGGCTAAGAGCATGGCACATTGGCAGAAAATACATGGAAAGCACACCATCACATTTAGCAGCCGTTTATGCAAGTAACAAAAAGAAAGTAATGTACAAAAGGGAAAAAAAACAGAAGTACAGACTTCCCTGCCGACTACGCGGAATGTACAACGAAGTAAAAAGTCAAAAAGAACTCTTCGTTAAGCATACGACACTCAGTAAAACCAGCACCGTCTCTGCGAATCTTACTGCATTCCAGAAGGGTATAATATACAATGTTTTGTCGAATTAAAACAATTCTTATTAAAGTTACAGTATTTGGAAGGAAGATTAAAATACGGTTTCTCAAATCTACCACAAAAAGCGGGATTGTCACTAAATCACTACAATGCACAGCCAAAATGATTGGTGGGTTTGGAAAGGGTGGGGGTCAGGCAACCTAGCCCTTTCCAAAATGGTAAAATGTCTATGAAGTAAAGAATTTAGACTAATTGAAAAAAGGAATGATCTAACTAAACCTCAACACCCCCTCTACCCTCAAAGCACACTCTTAGCTAGGGCTGTCGCTCAGGAGATCCAACCCAGAACGTTGTCAGAGTTAAGGTGCACTAGCTGTGAACACAGTGAAGACGGCCATTTTGATCAGGGCACTAGGAATTGGCATTGGTCACTGAAGTTAAAAAAGGAGAAACTTCATAATTCGGCAATACAAGTTCTTAGTGTTAACAAGTTACAAAATGAAGTCAACTCAATATGGATTACAAGCACAAGTCCACCGAAAGCCATTATTTTGGTTCTGGGTGGATTTCAAATTGAACCATTGGTTTCCTTCAACTCTAGGCGGCTTACGTCATGAGATTCCAATCCCGCCCTTCTACCATAACCATACTTTGGCGTCTCTCTCGCTGCTTGAATTTTTTTACAGAGCAAACGTAGAAGGATATGAGACATCCTCTTGCTTACAGCAGGAGGAGAGGTGTTAGGACCTCCGCTAGGAAGAACTTGCCACTTTAATATGGCTTGAAGCCCACAAAATGGCTCCTCCACTGTGACGCTGTCAATCATACTGCTCAGAAAATCATTAGCAAATTACTTGTAGCGGATAAACAATAACTTAGACCTTTCATAAGTTAACCATTTCTTAATTTCTCAGCTTTTAAAATGCTTAGGCACCCAAGAAACAGTTAAGAGAGTCCAATTTTTGCCTTGTAATAGCAAAGCAAGCAGCTAATGACAGGATGGGATTGTTAAGGAAAGACGCACAGGTTTTGCCAACATCTCGGTTTTATTAGAGTTTCTGTTCGTCGGTATTAATTTGAATTGCTACAGTAGATGGACATAGTAAGCAGCATCGAGAGAAAAGGGGAGGAGGAAACAGTTAAACAGTTTAGAATATACAGCACTTCCTTTTTGGCTGAGTTTCCGGAGGCTCGAGGGCAGCTAGGATAGCCTCATCAAACACATTCTTCAGACCTCTCTACAAGACAGAGGGAAGGAGAAGAAAACAGCAGCGAGGTTAGAGGATTAGAAAGAAATGGAACAGCAGACATAAAAAATATTGAAAAATTAAAAGAGAAAAGCACTTAGGAACCAGTAGCAATTCCTAATAACAGGAAACTCGTGGCAGAGAAGACATGCTATTGTTAGTATGGTTAGAAGTAACAGTTACAGCAAAAAGAAGCCGCTTTTGCAGAATATCACTTCTCCATTATCAGCCAGATGGAAACATGGTCTGTCAAGGTGCTTGATCATGGCCTCATTTGGTGGAAGACATTCATTTGAGATAGGAACCAGAACTAAAATAATCTATCAGCTGGAAATGATAGGTTATGCTGGAGCTACAAAAGAATGACATGAAAAAAGCAACTCATGGAGTTCAAGCTTTAAATGTCCTCATGCATAATAAGAGAGTCATGCAATATCATTTCTTTTCCTACCAGTCTCTACTGGACAATAACCCAGATGAGAAGCCAGTATAGAAAGAATTCTGCTTAGTGTGAAAGCCTATAATGAAAACACTGCAGAGCCTCAGTTCAACTGATCCTGTTACTATACAAACTTTTCTTGGTGAAGGCATACCTTTTAAAGAACAGTGTGCATACTTGCCTTTCCAACTGCCTGCGTCACCAAACGCCACACCATTGTTGAGCATTGGCACCCCCCAAAGTCTGCAAGGACACATGCCTTCAGGAGTGCTGCTCTCCTCAGTACTCTGCAACTCTTACCAACTCCTCCTGCTTAATCTTCGTGTCACCACTGCCTCCTGTAATGACATGGAGGTCATCAGGAGGAGCAGGTGAGCACTGGAGGAGACCAGGGACACTCCTGGAAGTGTAGTTTTACCTTGGACTTCAGGTAACCATTTCTCAGGATCAGATCGGCATTCGCCAGCACGGACAAGGTATGTACACTCTTCTTTTTGAAGAATGCCCCCACTAAGAAAAATTTGCATTGGGTTCTTCTTGCTTTAAAGTGCAAGGTAGACATAAAAAAAAAGGAACTTGTCCCTTTAGAATGTTTTGATCATTAAATGTGAAACTGTAGCCAAGTTTAGGAAAATGTTGAGAAAAACCTTTATTGCATTTGTATTGTTGTATGCGTCACTTTTGAGGGGAATTCTCCTCACTTTAATTCCTAGAGACATACCAGGAAGAAAAATATCTTAAAGTGAGGGGAAATCTTGCCATAAAGTGACACTAAACTCAGGAGTTAAATCTTAAAAATACATTCAAGTGCCTTATTAACATGACTGTACCTTATTTATGCATCACTCGGCTGTAGATCCTCCAATCATCTCTGAATTGGTGCCGACACTGTCCTTCCTTCTGGAGGGTGGCTACTTTTGTTCCCCATGGTCCCTGTGTGTGTTGTTCAGTAGTCACCGACCCAAGCTCACTCCCGTGATGTTGTACAATCTCATGTTTAGTTTACTAATTTGTACTGAGATTGTAGTCCATTACGAATTTTCTGTTCTTGCCTCGGGCGCAAACGGAGCTAGCTATGGCTCTGCAGTTCATCACGGGAGTGAGCTTGGAGCGGTGACTACTTTCCAACACACACAGGGATCATGGTAAACAAAAGCAGCCACCCTCCAGAAGGAAGGACAGTGTCGGCACCAATTCAGAGATGATTTGAGGATCTACAGCCGAGTGATACAAAGGATCACGAACCGGCAGCGGCGACGAGGAGACAGAGGTATCGCTAGCTGTTTACATGCTCACAGTTTTCCCTCTCGTGTGCGCGCCCTCCCGCTCCTAGCAGACGTCCGTCCGGCCGTTCACAAACGGCCATGGACGGAAGGTGGTTAAGATTTAACTTCTAAGTTTACGGCCACTTTAGCAGTGGTCACAAGACGAGAATGCCCATTAGGAGCATTCCGTGTGAACATATTTAAAACCACGGGCAAAGATTTCAGTTTGCGCTGTGTAGGCATGATATAACATACAACTGCTTCCTCTTCTTCAGGGTGTTAGTAGTGATGACTCCCCCACAGGAGCATATAACTCGCCTTTCAGCAGTAGACACTACAATGGGGTATAGTTTTGGGATGAACAAAGTTTTTACCAAGCTTCGCTGAATTCACAATTCCTAGAATGAATTCAACTCAATCTAGTCAAGATAATATTTACTACAAAAGAATGGTGAGAAGAGGCCAAGAACTCAAACAGGCAGATCTCAAAACCAGAACCATGGAGAGATGGAAGCAGCTGGCCTACATAACTTGCCAGCATCCACCTAAAACAATTTGAAGCAGCCTTGGCCTTAAACGGATCTGTGACCTGTCCACCATTCTTTTGGACACTCAGAAGACATTTATAAAGGTTTGGGATCCTTGGATAACCTTTGCTTACCCAGACATCCATCCCGACAGCATAAAGGCCATTTAAATGCTATGCCTCTCCCGGGGGGGGGGGACAACTGCAATCAGATTCCAGCCCTACCCCTCTACCTTTCCTACCTCTTTCTCTGCTTTACTCTTCAATCCCTTTTACTTGTCTACCCTCTCCAACCCATGTTGTGCTGAGTTAGTGGAAATTGTCCAGTAACTCATGTTATAAATTTCTCTTTTTGTATAATGCATGTTAATTATGCGATTTCTGTGTAGTTCACGTGTTTTATTGTACAAACTTAATAAAAACTTTGCAAGGGGGACAAAAAAGGATCTGTGACTTCAGAAATATCTTTTTTGTTTGTTTTAATGATGGCATTTTTTATTTGCCAACAGTAGAGCTGACTTGAAGTGGAGTTTGCCCCACAGTACCTTTTAGACATTTTTCAGTACTAGAGCAGTCCAATAGTGGACACCATAGGCCAGACTCCAAGGATAAGGTCTAACCTATTTCTATGGAGGAAAAAAACAAAAAACGGAGGCTCATACTTTTGCAAATAAAAGTAGGCTAGTACATTTTACAAACCTGCACAAAAGTTACATAAGACATTTGCCATGTTACAGATCCTGATCAAGACAAAAAGGGTTATAGTGCCTGTTCAGCCTATTTCAGGTTCTTCAACAGCTGCATATGTGGTGATCACAGCATTAACA